TGCAAAGAATTTTCAGAAAGCTTTGTGGTTTTTAAAAGCTGGACAATACTTGAATAGTCACCTTTGAGACCATTATTCTTAAGGTTTTCTTTTTCTAACTGAAAACAAATTACATTTTTGCTCACCAGAGAAATTAAGGAGGAAAGGGTCAGTGAGGTAAACCCTGGCTATATGACACATAACCTTTTGAAAGGTCTGATTCTCATCCCCCACACACCTTCATGTATCTCTTCTAAGAATGGAGTTTGCTTAATAGACAATGGGCTCCCCAGGAAGATAAGAAGTATATACAAAGACTTAAAAAAGAATTATAACTGGGTGGAAAATTTTAAATAGAATGCTCTAGCCAGTTTCTTTCCAGTCTTGAAAAGGAAGTCCTCGATGTAAAACATTTATAACTGAATAAAATTTATGGAATAATTCAAGGTATTCTTACATGTTTTAAATATAATAAAATAAATTCTCCTAGGAGAAGAGAATAAGTATTTATATAGAGCCTACTGATGTATCAGGCACTGTGTTAAGGGCTTTATATTATCTCATTTGATCCTCATCCCAATCCTGCAAGGTAGGTGCTGTTAAAATTACCATTTTTCAGTTGAGGAAACTGAGGTTCAATTATTTGCCCAGGGTCACATAGTGTCTGGGGTCATATTTGAACTCATGGCTTCTGACTCCAGGCCTAGTGATCCATCCACTGTGCCATTTAGTAGTTCTAGTAGTGAAATGATGGAGCAAGCAAACATTTGACAAGTTGTTAATAGTTTAGAGTTACCTTAGACTTTAGAACTCAATAAGGAAATGTATTTATTCTCTGATTTTGCAATGTTTCGGGATATGGCACTTATAGTATGTTTACATGGAAGAAGAGTAGATGATGCAGTGGGTACAGCACTGGCCCTGAAGTCAGGAAGACCTGAGTTCAAATCTGGCCTCAGACCAAACACTTGACACTTATTAGCTCTACTTTTCAATGTCTTATAAAGTAGTGAGTAATTGTAGGACAGCTCTCTTAAGAAATAGCTCCCATGTCTCTTTTGCCCCTGGGAACCTGTCCAGCTATGGCCCAGTAACAGGACAATAGGACCAAGGTTGGGAGTTTTCTTCTGGACTAGCATTCAGTTATGAATTGCCCAAAGCCCAATAGGAGACTAATTTATTTACAGGCTCTGATCTAGTATGGACTGACATTATAGTTTGATTTGGAACACATCTAAGAGTTCCTGAATCCTTGGAGAAATCCTAGAACATAAATTACTTCTTGAGTTTTTTTTTTTTCCTGGAAAAAAGGATGACACTAATAGGAACTTAGTGATAAACATGCTAACTGACAAATATTATTCCTTTGTGCAATTCAAGGTGCTATGCCAGACAACTTGGAAGATGCAACTAGGTATGACAAAAACATTGTCTTAAAATCTAGCTGGATTAACAAAAGATATAACTATTGTTTTTTTTAAATACTAGTTTAAAAAGCAAAAGCAAAAAGTGTCATAGATAGGTTCTGATTAATTGTCTGAGTGGTATAGACAAGCACTATGAGTTCAGAGGAGAGTGAGAAGTGTTTCATCAGAAAATATCATTTAAATGTTAGTTATTACAATTATGATGAGTGGTCTCCAAAGACATTGTAAAGGATTTGGGATCTGAACAGGGCCTTGAAAGCCATGTAAGACCAGTTTTCCAAATGGGGTGGTAAAGTGAGTTTCATAGAAAAAGGTGCTATCATGAAACTTCTGACACTTGCAATATATTCTTGAAGAGTTATGTCTAGTTATTTCAAATATATCAGGGAATGCACCAATTAAGGGAAACATTGGGGATCCATTTGTAAAACAAATAACCTCCAAACATATCTTTTTTTTGTTGTTGTGAGTTTGTTTAAAGTTTGTTTTACTTTGCAAACTCTTCAGTGGATCCCTGAAGCTCTGAACTAGTAGTTAGTCAACAAGCATTTATTTAGTGTCAATCTTGTGCTTAAAGCATGTTAAAGTTCCCTGGCACAAGTGGACTTAAATCAGGGGTTCTTAAATCTTTTTTTCTGTGTGTGTCATGTACTTTAGCAGTTGGATGAAGCCAATGGATTCCTCAGAACAATGTTTTTTAGATGCATAAAACAGTGTTAGAAAAGAAACCAATTATACTGAAAGTTATAAAAATATCAACAAAAAATTATTTAGAGGCCCTCCATTAAGAATCATTGATTAATTTGATTTTGTGATATAAATGCTATCCACAGAGAGGGTTATAATTGCATGGTACTGAATATACTAGAGATTCTAAGGCCTTAGCAGATGGTTCAATGGGTTTAAGTAAGCACATAGCATTTTTTGTGAAACCAATGAAACATTTCAGATATTGAATTTAAGTGAGGATATAGTTTCTAAATCTAGGTCTCTTTTTTCAATTTCCAAATCACACTTTTATCTCCATCCATCATATGGAAGTCATTGGAAAGGCATGGTGGCCTTTGGAGGTCATAACATAATTAAAGAGGAACTACGAAAAACAGGAGTTACAGATTTGATCAAAGAATTGTATGGCAGAAAGAAAAGATGGACTGGTCTTATGGCAAGAGAGAGGAGGGACGCTTACGTGGGAGGTTAGTGTGTTCCATTTGGTACCCTGCTCTTGGGAGGTAAAGAGAAAGGGATTAATGCCTCCAGCATGCTGAGACCCCTCCTATGGAAGTTTTGGGAGGACGTGGAGTCGAGTCCTATGAGACAGATTTTGATCCACATGTTGGAGGGAACTTCCAAGTCTATGAGATCACAGATCCTTTTAAGTATTTTCATACTTCTGAGGAGCAATGAAAATTCAGGCTAGAAATATAAGAATTCAAGTGTTGCCATGCATAGGTTAAAACTTTATTTTTTGATGTGATTCAGGTAAGGGACTACCAAAGCAAATGAATACTTTTTTTTTTTTAACAGTACCCACTTTACTTTGTATAATATTTACCTATTTCAGACTCCTCCCCTAATACTCACTTAGAATTATTGACACAAATTAGCATAAATTCTGTTTCATCATTATTTGTCATATATATGTGTGTGTATAAATAACATAAAATACATACAAATATATACATACATATAAAATTAAAACTTTGCTGCTTGGTCGAGGTTTCCAGGAAACGTTTCAGAGTTGCTGAGGCTCAAATGAGACTGCAGTAGAGTTGTGTACTTTAAAAGCTATATAAATATAACCTATTTCCAAAAGTTTAAACGCCCTGGGTTAAAGCAAGGTACACTTATACTTTGGGCTCTTCCCTTTTCCTTGCAACATCAGCACTGGAAAAGAGCCCAAGTTCTGGTCTGGGACTAGAACTCATGGTCTTTTGGCGCTGAGTCCGTGAACTGAGTCATTCTGGCATTGGGAATATTTTGTGACTCAGCAGGCCTAAAGAGGAGGATGTCAGAATCTAGATAATTTCGAGTCTTTTAAAGGCAAGACAGAGAACACAAACAACACAGTGGAATAATTTTGCAGTTGGTTTCGTGTACCCTGGGGAAAAATGTTAATTCCATTCCCAGCCTTTTCACTTCCTTCCTAGTTACTGGTGAAATGACTGAAATTACACTTTAACTCCGGGACAGGAAATCACTGCTCAAAATGCATTTGGGATGCAGCTGTAAGGTCCTGCGTCTCTGGGAAACGGATTCTGCACATCGGGCGTCCTAACACATCCCCCTCCTCCAAAAGGCTGTGGGAATGGTGACCCACCCCTCCACCCCCGGCTTTGGCTGGAGGAATCCCAGGTGGGCGGAGGGAGGCTGGGTTGGGGGCGGGGGGAGTAGTGACAATCCCCGCCCCCAATTCGGCCCGGGCAGTCCTAGGTGGGCGAACGGTTAGTGACAACCTCCCCCCCTCCGCATTTAGCTGGAACAGTCACAGCGGGGAGAAGGCTGGAGGTGACCCCCCAGACCCTCGATATTTGGCTGGGGCAGTCCCAAGTGGGTGGGAGGTTGGTGATAACCCTCCCCCCGCCCCAATTTGGCTGGGACAAGCCTGGGTGGAGAAGGAGGAAGGGTAGGGGTAGGGGTGACACCCCCCCCATTTGGCTGGAGGAGTCCCAGTTGGGCAGAGGTGGGGGCTAGAAGCTCAGCATCGAGCGGAATGCACAATCCATCCATCCCACCTCCAGTCCGCCAGGACTTCACCCCAGCCCCCCAGGCCCCTTTTGGTCTCCCACCACCCCATTTAGAGAATTCTGGTCACAGTAACCGCCGAGGGTTCCCGGTACCCAAAGTGTCCTCTCCACCCTCGGCCCTGCCCCGCCCCGCCCCGCCCCGCCCGCCCCCTATCTCGCCGCTACTCCCTCTTCCCAACTTTCCCTTCCCTCCCAGCATGCCCCGCGAGGGCCGACCCTCCCATCCCCCCCGCGCGTCCCTCCTCCTTTCTTCTCCACGCCACCCTACCCTGCCGACCCTCACTGCCCCTCCTCCTCTTCTCACGCTCGCACCTCCCCCCCCCCCCCCCCCCCCCCGCGCCCTGATCGCGCGCGCGCACTTCGGGGCGCGAGACGCTCCCGATCCTTCCCCCCTCCCCCGATGCGGTCGCCGCGGCCGGGCCGTCCATGGCGCGCGGAGGGTGCAGGAGGAGCTCGAGGGCCGCCGCCGGCCCCTGCTGAAGGGCTGTCGGGCGACCTTTTCCGCCCGCTCGCTCTCTGCGGAGCATCTTTGTCGGGGCTCTTCGGGGGCGCGCGCGCGCGGGCACGCGCGAGGAAGTCCGGGGCCGGCGGCGGGCGGGGGTGTGGGTTAGGGTGTGGGACGGCCATCCCTGCCCGGGGGGCGGGGGGGAGAGGGGAGGGGGCGGGAGGAGGAGGAGGAGGGGGGCGGTGGCGGCCCGAGGAGGGGGTGGTTAGAGCTAGCAGCGGAGCTCCCGGAGAGGCAGGCGCTCAGGACGCAGCTCTCCCAGCGCCAGCCTCCGCCGCTGCCTCGCCAGCCTCGTCTCGCCTGTCCCCGGGCTCCCTCCCGGACCGAGCCGCGCGGAGAACGATGCGCGGGAGCCCGCCGAGGCCCCTGGCCGCGCTGGCCCCGCTGCTGGCGGCCGCGCTGCTGGCGGGCTGGGCTGCGGCAGCCATGGACGAGTGCGCGGACGAGGGCGGGCGGCCGCAGCGCTGCATGCCCGAGTTCGTCAACGCCGCCTTCAACGTGACCGTGGTGGCCACCAACACGTGCGGCGCCCCGCCCGAGGAGTACTGCGTGCAGACCGGGGTGACCGGGGTCACCAAGTCGTGTCACCTGTGCGACGCCGGGCAGCCCCACCTGGCGCACGGGGCCGCCTACCTGACCGACTACAACAACCAGGCCGACACCACCTGGTGGCAGAGCCAGACCATGCTGGCCGGGGTGCAGTACCCCAGCACCATCAACCTCACCCTGCACCTGGGTAAGCCCTGAATGCGACCCCCGAACCCCCGCCGCCGGACCCCTGCGGCCACCTCCCCAGCTGTCCGGTCAGGGCGCCTCCCTTCCGAGGTCTTCAGCTCGGGATCCCCTCCGCCCCTCTCACGACGCAATGGGGCATCCCTGTATCACAGCCTTGGGGACGCCTTCACCTCCTTGACTTTCTAGCCCAGAAATCCCTCTCCTTCCCTACAGGAGGGAGGGTTTTGCTGCCTCTTTCCACGCACAGACAGTAAAGGGTCTTCGCTAAAGGACTCGATGTGGGGGGAGGGGGAGGAGCAAGTGCCTTTTTCCTGCCCCATCCTCCCTTGTCTGTGCTGCGTTGAAACACAAATTCACTTTAAAAGTTATTGTCCCTTTATGCCTTTGAGCCTTAATTAAGGTCCACAAAACCGCTTCTATGCTAATCCTACTACGGGGAAGACAAAAGGTCTGTACCCGCTATAATTGGTGAAACAGTCTTCCGAAGTGTGTAAACGAGCCATTCTTAAGTATTTTCCCATGCTTTGATTCCAAGTGAATGTAGAAATGTTTAATCTTTTGGAAATCAGGAAAGGGGTGGATGGAAATCATTCTTTTTACTGCAAGGGGGAGGAGGTTGGGAAAAGTTTGATCTGCTGATGTATCCAAAATAGTTCCAATCTTTCAAATATTTCTTTAAATTTGTAAAAGATGTAAGCAAAACAGTAATCAGCAACAGTAGTTAAAAGCGTACGAGTTAGTTAGAAGTATCTAGATTCGTAGAATTAGAAGCTTTTTAGGGTCGGAGACCTGGTTGCATCGTATCTACCACTTAATGAAATTCCGGAGAACAAACACTCCCCTGACCTGCTCTTGTGCTGTTATTCCTAGGCAAGCTAAATCTATACAGCTGATATTCATAGACATGGTATTTCAAAATGGAAATTTGGTAGGGGGAATGCCACTTTTGCCCCTGATTGTTCCCTTCCTTTTTTTCATCAATGCATTTACTTTGGTACACTTAGCTTTCCTGAGCACAAGATTCTAAGAGAAAGTATCTGGAATACAGGAAGTGCTGCCTTTTTTTTTTTTTAAATACAACTAAAAAGTTGTAATTAGCCGGCCAGTTTTGTGAGGTGAATAGATTTCACCAATATTGAAATAAATTGTTTTGGTCTTGAGTTTTCAGGAAATCAAAATTTCTTCCGATAAACAAAATATTCACAGCAAAGAGAAAAATCTGAGGCAGCTATAATTTCAGAGATGGAGGAAGAAGTTTTAAAGTGCAGTAGAAACACTCAAAGCTATGGATAGGTTAACTTAGAACAGGTCCTTTTTGAGTAGTTTAGGTAGAAGGACTCTTCCAATTATCGTTTATAATATTACTATTGATTAGTTTTTTTCCCCAATGGCATACTTGACCTTAGCACAAAAGCAAGTTTCTGTATTTTTTTTTAACTTACCATTTTTCTTGTTTAAATTTTAGCTTAAGGAAATTCTAGGCTTGTTTTCAGTAACAAAAATAAGTCTCAGCTTGTCCATTTCTAAATTGAGAAATGTATTGTCCTCTTATGGAAAGGACCAAATTTACAAAATATTCAGTTGGAATGTCTTTTTGAAGTAGAATATTTTGCTGAAGTGAAAATGGGCCTATGTACATTTGTAGATTTGGCTTTTCTGTATTAGAATTTATATAGACTAAGGTTCTTCATTCAGACAGAACTTTAGTTATTTTATATTGATTGCTTTATTACCTATTGATTATATAGGGTTGGCTAGAGAAGATATTGGTTAACCTTTAAGATTGTTAATACAACATTATGCCTATTTAATTTTTAATATCCTTCTTGCCTTACCAGTGACCACGACACACAGATTTTTTATTCTTTGAGGTTGTCACAAAAGTCTTAGTGCAGTTTTAAATGCTGTTAAATATAGTCTTTGTGCATGTGAATTTAAGACACTAATTGCTTAATTATTTTATTTGTGAATTTTTAATCCATGAAATGTTTTGTCTCCATGTTCAGGATTTTTGTTAGAGTGAGTGATTTGTGAAAACATTTAGTCCTAAACCTCTATGGTTGAGTAATTTCTGAAAAAAAAATTATTAGCTGTTTTGGAAACTTACTGTATTCTTGAACATTTATAGCTATAAGAATCAGAGAATTTTAGAATTTAGGATGTAAGAGATAATCAGCAGGGTAAGAATGTAAGAGAGCACTGGAGAAGGGGTCAAAAAACCTGCAATCAAGATTAGACTATGTATATTCTGACTCCTGGATCACACTCTTACTTCAGTACTTTTCCTGAGGAAAATTGTTTAAATGTTTGGGGTGGGGAGGAAAATGGGTAAAAAGGGGAAAATTGTTGTGTTTTAGTTATTAAGCCTCTACTATGTGTGCTCAGCACAGTGCTTGAAGGCACATAGTAGGTAATTAATGTTTATTGCCTGAGACTGACTAAAAGAGTTTTTTTTTAATATATGGATATTAATTATTAGGTAATGTGTTTTAAAATCAGTTGAATAGAATTTTCATTGAAAGTAGGGATTCTAATTTTGTCTTTTTGGGTACTCCTTTGGAAATTAAAAAATAAGAAATTGCGAATCAAATGCACACTAGATTTTATTAAATTAATGAAGAATAGAGCTTCAGATGCCAGCTTGCATGCTGATTTTAAGAGCATCTGATATGCCTTATGAATTCAGGTTACATCACTATTTGTGCAGTTATTAAATCTTCCACGCTTTCAGTCAAATGTGCTCTGTTTTTGAGAGCATACAAATCTGCTAGATCCTGAAAACTATTTTTCTAGTGTTCTAGCTGAGACTATTTTTGAATGGACAACTCTAAAGTGAACAAAATCAGATTCATGGTGGCCACTGATGAAAGCTATTTGAACTGGTATCTTTTTTCTTGGAATGATACATTTCCCAAAGGAAAGCAAGTCCAAATTATGTTGTTGTCACATTTATCACCATCTGTTGTAGGAAAGCCAGGAATCAACAGTTGATTCTGCAAGAGCCAATTTTAAATGCCATATACAGTAATTCATAGTGCTGTGTATTGTCGGATATAATTAGCTGCCATTGCTGTGGGAGCCAGCACTGTACTTCTTAACTGCTGGATGTTAGAGCTGTTAGTCAGGTGCTGTTCTTTCAAAGAAGAATTTTTTTTTTTAATTTAACTTCTATCTATAAGAAAAGTATGACCTCTTTGTTTTTAAGTGACAATTTTACCCATATCTGAAAGATAATTGATAGATTATATAGCTAGAGGTTTTTCTGTTATAAAATAACCTCATTTGTTAATTTAATAATCCTGGATGAAAACTTGGGATAAGGGGCCATGATCTTTGAAAGAGTTCTGAAAATAATTAAAAATCAGGCTCCCTTTTAAAGATGAAAGTTTTGAGAGATGGTGGTACAGTGTAGAACTGACATCTGAAGATTAGAAAAAAAGCCTTAAAATTAACATTCAAACTAGATTGGAATGCTTTTTAAATACATATTAAACAGTGATGGGATGAGGCATTTGTAGCTACATTTGAATGTTGCATTATGAGTTTAAATTGGAATGATTGACATATAGCAATGGTTTATTCTGTATTTGGTTCAAGAAATGTTTAACTGAAGAAATAGGAAATTTTTCAAGGAAACTTTTGGAGGTTTGGTTCAATCTAGATTTCAGAATGACTTGCTGAGCACTTCAGTGACTTCACTGTGGTATTTGTAGAGCCCTGAGGGAAACTCTATTTTAGTTAGTCTCAGGAAGGCTTGATTTACATTTTGCAGGTTTCAACAGGAGTAGTTAAAAGACATCAACTTCTTCTATGGCAACCAGTTCGGTGTAGTTATATAAAGTTGTTTTAAAACCCCTCTCCTTTGAGTCATCAGTTTTCATTAAATCACCCTATTTTTCTAAGTGAGAGAGGCATGGGGGCAGTATAGAGCCAAACATTTGATTTCTGATGGGGTTGCACATAGCACCCCTCTCACCCTTATAGCTGCATTATTCAGCATTCAAAGTTCATTAACTATTTGAGGTCTCTTTACCATGTGTCTTGAGTGTCTTTGCAGGATACAAAATTGTTTGTCATGGACTCCTGTCCTTGGGGAGTTTACAGATTCAATAATTGGAACCTATGTCTCCTTTTATTATTTGGCGTAGCCATTTGACAAACAATACTCAGTAAAATGATTTTTTTTTTTTTTTTAACACATCATAGTGGAATTTTCGTCCTAGGCTAATTAAGACTGTAGAGCAGACCGTTGGACATTTGGGCTGCTATTCTAAAGTTTCTATGTGATTCTTATTTATCATATTACTGAAATAAATGCTTTGTTATTGGCATCATCTTTCATTTAGATTTTCCTGAGATTCAGCCAGCTATCATGGCTAGTCTTAAATATAGATTGTAGTTATTCATATTAGTCAAAATTAATAAAGCTTAGATTTCTGAAAAAAAAATCATAGATGTTGACATAGAATTTTTTATATCCTTCTTTTGCACATCACCCTTAAATTTTAATATGGTGTTTGAGATTATTTTTCCTTAAAAATGGACATTAGAGAATTTTATTTTTATGGGTCATTCATATGTTTGATTCTTAAAATAGATACTTAGTTTTAACTATATACTGTAAATGGCACTGCTTTTATTTTGGGTATGGGCAGGATTTAAAGGAAGGCCTGGGGTGTTAACTTGCTTTTTCAAATTTTGTCACAGATAAGAAGTCCTAAGGTTCAACAAAAAGTACTTCAAATTTTATAGTGCTTAAACAAGTGAGTAATTTGCACATGATGTTGCCTGATTCATTAGACAAATCTTTCCTTTGCTCATGTATTTAGCTCTAATGGACACTCTGGGACCACCTCATTTTAGTTTTAGGAGAAAAGTGCCAAAACTAAGAGATCTGTTTTCACTTTTAAAAAATTCTCTAGAGAAGATTAAAAGAAAAGATGATTTACCTTTTTTGATTTTACCTGTGACCTTGGACAAGTCAAGGAAGCTCTCCTCCTG